GAGTTAGGTCCTACACCCCTTCTGGCTAGCTCGTCTGCTCTGCAATTGCCGAAAATATTCCCGGGAACTCAGATTACAGAACACATTTTCATTTACTGATGTGATAAAAATAAATACAGTGACTTAGATCTGCTTTAGAACTAGATCAGTGCTTAAGATAAGTTTTTGTTTGAATAAATATGAATATAAGTAAATATTCATTTTATTAGGAAGCAGAATAAATGATTTCTGGTGATGCGGCCAATGAATTGAATTTGTTTTTATTTTTGTTAAGTTATAATATTTAAGTACGGGTATGCTTCATAGCTATACAATGCAGCTGTAATATAAATATGCTTGCATTCTTAAGTATGAATATAAGTAATTATTAACGCCGCTAAATACTAAACACGTCAATCTATTTTCTCTACAAAACTGGAAAATAATAAACGAATTATTAATGATAAACGTAGCCATAGCTCTTATTTGAGTTTCGTTACTTAATTCTTATACTTTATAACTCAAGACATGTCAAACGTTTATTGTTTTCATAACCGTAGAAGGTTTGTGATTAGTCGTGCCGTAATACTTTTATGTTTGTATTCGAATAAGCACTTATAATTAAAAATAATTTTTTAGTTGAATAATATATATTGTGGTTAAAGAATTAGTAATTAAAATATCCCATTATTGCTTTGCTGACGTGTTAATTTATTTAATTTTTTTGCTAAAATTAGTTTCCAAAAAACCCATACTTTTATTCCATAAATCATCATAATACATAGCGAGACGTTATAATTTTAATTTTGTGATTAATTAGTGACTAATATAATTATTAAATTAAATTTGTTAAAAATTTTATAAATTAAATTTGTGTATTTGTTTCTCTGAATTCGATTTAATTTATTGAAAAACATAAGCTTAACCCTAATCACTAGTCACTTTTACTCGTTACAGAGCTGTCTCCTCTGTCGAAGTAACGCATTGGTAATGTTTTGTTATTAACCCTAGTACAGTGTAGAAAAATGAACAAATTTTGTTTGGAATCGCAAAATATAACAATTTATTATGAAATAAAAAATATGATCTAAAACAAAATTCAACATTTGGTTGTGTGTTCTTGAATTAAATTTTGTCAGTAATCTAATCTAATCTAATCCAATCATCTTTATCGTAATCTTACTAATTGCTGACAGAGAGAATTGTGATTGAATTTTGACGATTCAACTAAGATTTTTCCTGATTATTCGGATCTTGTGTTTGTGTATCCTGATTCTGTTGATCATGACCTCGATTTTGAATTTGATCTTGATCTTGATCTTGCTGTTCATCATATTCTGTGTCACTTTTCTCTAGTATTGTTTTATCATCATCTTCATTACTTATTAGTGTGGAATATATTTTTGCGGATTCATTAGAAGTATTTATAGTAGAATTTTCATCTAATAAATTTTTTTCAATTGTTTTATCATTAACTTCAATTTGAGGTTCAATCATCGAAAGCTCATCTTCATTTTGATCGTTGTTTTTATTTTCTTGTGAAATCATCTCTGTGCTTTTATCAGCAGCATCATTTAAACTCTCATTGCTTGAACTGCTTCCATTATCCAAAAAATCAAATAATGAGTCAGTAGAATCATCAATATCTGAGTGACGTTGATCTATGCATTTGTTTATAGCAATGCCAACGGTGGGTTGAGACGGACTAATTGGATTGGATGAACGTTTCTCAGTTACGACTTTAACTAGACCCTCATGTGCTGCATCAAAAGAATCGCATAGTTGAAAAGATGCATTATCATACATTTCAGTAAAAGTAAAAGCAGCTACATCACAGTCAAATTGTAACGGTGGTGTGTTAGTATTTCTTACCGCCTCTTCACATATAGTCTTAAATATGTCAAATTCTGTTGGTACTATGTAAGCAGTATCTTCGAATTCAGGTAATTCTTTTTTTTCTGTAGTTCCATTTCCATTACATGGCTTGATATCTTTATATGTGCTACACTCCTCTGAACCATTTGATTGTATAGTCAGCTTTTGTTCAGAATTATTACAGGTGCCATCTTTTTGCTCTGTGCCCTTTTTTGAAACCAGTTCGGATTCATTCTGTGTTCCTTGTAGCAAAGATTTTTTAGAGAAAATATCAGCATCATCCTGTAAATTATTTTCTTTTAAGTTATCCATTCTTTACTACAAGGAACTGCAATGTTGAAGTACGATTGATTTTGTCCTTGTTTTTCTTAGTTCGTTATAAAAAACTTTTTATTTTAAAAAAATATTTGTTGAAAGTAATTTTAAACATAGAATTCAAATCTCACTGAGTTGTTAAAAAATTTTTTCTTCTATTATATGTACAATATACCATACAAATAAATGTATTCTGACTAGTTTCTATTTAAACAACTTTATTCGTTTACCTTTACTGCTGAACTCAAGTCGTTATTATACTTTTTATTAATTATTATTATATTTATAATATAAAATAATAACCAAATTACTTCCTAATATAAATTAAATAAGCACAGAAATAGTACAACAGCTATTCTCACGTTGTATCTTGATTTCTCGGTTATCTCTATATAAGCGCAAGTGAGTTCTCCAACTCAAGGGGCCGCACAGTAATCGAGCAAATACGCTATAGAAAATTGAGTGAATCCTTGACTTGTACATATATATACATTCTATATATTCTATATATATATGTTATTTATATATATTTATGTATATATGTATATAAATATATATATATATATATATGTTATATATATTTATATTTAAATATATATATATAATTCTAATGTACATGTAGTATATATACATACTACAAGACAGCTAATCCTGATCCATTAAACTTAGGATAAATCCTGAAGACAGATATATCAATTGCGAAAGTCATATAAAATATCTAGGAAAATTTCTCAGTAAAACTTAGCCAATCCCGATCTATCAAAGTTAGGATCAATTCTGATGTCTCAGATATGTCGATTGCGAAAGTCATATTAAAAATCCAGAAAAGTTTTATATGTTGTATATTTATTTATTTATTTTAACTACAGAAACTAAACAATAAAAGTCAATCAATCTGTAAGCACTTACCGAGACACTCTTAATATATTTTTTAGGAATATTGGACATTTTTTAATACCTTTCGAATTTAAACTATAAAAACACAATATATTTGTTGAACTTAAAGCAGTATTTATCCTTGAGGTTCAAAATTTTACTAGCGAACCATTTAGAAATAATAACATATGAAAGTCATCTAATAATATAAATATAGGCATATTAATATTATTCACACATATGAGTACACCTGAAGGACGAAACCAAGAGAGTTGCATGAGTTTAGGATTTTTTTTCTTATCAAATCAAATTAGGCACTAAAAAATATGGTAACTACGGTAACCTTGTTTATTATTTTGTTAATATTACTTTAAAAATCCGACGAAAGTTAGTTGTTAGTTTGTCATAGACACGCAAATTTTATTTAAAACTAAATACAAGGTGAAGATTTTTTTTTGAAATGCAATTTTGATAAAGTCTTTCACCATAACTCGACAAGGTGAGTTGATATTGGATTAATAAACAAATAGTAACTATGACCTATTATAAAACAACAGACCCTTCAGATTGATTGCTTTATAAAACGTACTTATTAGTTGTTAATTTTATTTTTCAATTGAGAATATTAAAGTAAATAATAACTTCACATACATATTATGATATAATAAAGATAATCGGCCTTTAAACATGCAGTTTCTGATATAATCTCAACTCAACTAAATTATATTTAATTTATACAGAACACTTTTTAAATTTTTTTCTTCCATTAAATTAAAATAACTCTATTTAAATGAAATAAAATGTGGCACTAAAGATGGAATGTAGAAACAAACGGAAGATGGACAGTAAGATTGATCCCGAATGTAGCGAAATCGACAGACAAGAAAACCAGCGAAGTAAACTATTATTTAAACTATTATTAAACTATTATAAACTATTATTAAACTATTATTTAAAGTAAACTATTATTTCTTTTTGGTCATGGATATTTTCAAAAATACCTTTTCTGCATTAGCAAGGCAAATGATCTGAAATGCATATACGAAGATGCAGATGAAGACAACGTTGGATACACTATTTTCAAATGCAACAGATGAAACACCGAAAGAACGCCACTTGAAATAATAGTCGGTGAAATAACTGTGGAAGATCTCACAATGAAGAAAACTCGACCGCCATAGACAGACTCGTTACGATCATACTTAAGCGGAAAAAAAATGATCTGGAAAATGGACAATTTTAAAAATAGAAAAACAAATAAGTCTAAGCAATACCTGAATCCAGGCTAACGAAGAATTCTGAAATATTCTCGATAAAGTTCCAGTATATAAACGGTGTGGTACATGAGGGGGATTGTTTTTAGTCCGTAAAAACCTGGCATACCACTATTGTGACGACATAGTGACGTTGCATCAGGCATTTTTAAGCTTCCTCTCCGCAAAAAAAAAAAAAAAAAATAATAGCCTTTAAAGTAATCAACGTTCAATTCAGTATTCAGTTATTATCGTACACAGGTTTTAATTTATATTTTTATAATATCATAATTTTAAACTCTCTTCATATACCTTAAAAACAAATTTTTCTACTCTTTTTCCTTTTTAAGAATTATACCTAATGTGATTTTCTTACTGATATTCTTAGTACTACTCCTAATATGCAATAGATATGGAGAATTTTCTAGGTATATCAAGTCAATTGATTATACGATGAATAGTTAAGTCCCAAAAATCTATATCACAGTTATTTTTTTTTTGATAATTTTTGGAAAAAAATCGCATAATAAAGCTTCATGCAGAAAACGATTTCATGCGCATTCGCCACATTCGTTGCCATCGCATTTATAAACAAAATCTACAGTTCAGTAATCGAAAAAACAAAATTCAAAAAGGAATCATTCAGTCTATCATAACAACGTCACAAATATAAAAATTTGAAAAAAACGATAAATTTAAAATTACTTAAAATCTTATTACATCTCTCCGATTAAAAGTCCTTTTTAAAGTGAAAATTAACAAAATTGAACCAACAAAATGATGTCCCTTATGCGAAAATATGGCTTTGAAGCCGATTTTTTTGTTGAGGAAGAAGAAGAAGCAGAAGAAGAAGAAACCCCAGAAGAACCGGATCATGTCGAAGTCAAATTAAAAACCGTTTTCGGATTACGTACAGATGTGATTGGGAATGTGGATTTTTCCATAAACCAGGAACTCATCTACCCTGTAGAGGGATTAATTGTTATGCACAATGTTGTATCGAATGAACAGAAATTTATGTAGTAAGTATTATTGCTGTTAATGTACATTCGAGTGTATATATTCAAACTGTAACCTAAAGTCTTCCAGATCGATGCAAGCTAATATTCATTAAATTGTCTTATACAAAGAAGTGTTTAGCAACAATTGAACAGTATTTCAGGTTTGAATTGCTTAAATCTATTTAAAGTAACTATAGTCAGAATCACCTTTTTCTTCATACACAGATCCCTTTTAATTGGCATCTATGATTTAAGAACTTTAGAGAGACGCAAAGAAATTCCAATACCAAGAACTTTCGGAGTAAGACGCATTATAGATGTAACTTTTTCACATGACTCGAGATATCTGTATATACTTACTGAAGCCGAAGAATATCTCATACTTATGCTACCACTAACCGAAACGGATTTTTTTATTGAAGGTTATCCAAGCTGTCCAGGTTATCATAGCGCCATAGTTTGCATATCAAGTGATCCCTCTATGGGTACTCGAATTGCAGTCGGAGCAGAGTTTTATATACTTATAATGACCAGAGAACCTAAATCAGATGAACTGACTATCACACAAACTATACGCTTAGATTTCCGTACAATCAGTATGTCGCATTTCTATAGCGGCTGCTTGATAATCGGCACTGACAACAATGAAATCATTTTGATTGTAAATGGGAAAATAAAAAATCGTCAAAATGCTCATTATGCGGAATTACTGGACTCGTATTTAACTCAACCACAACTAGAACATGAAAGACTTAAATATGAATTACAAGATCCAAAATTTGTCATAGAAGAAAAGAAAGTTTTGCATATGTTCATACATAGTACAGGATTGGCCTACGCTATTGGTCATCGAGTATATGTATTTGAAAAAGTTGCAGTTCACAAATATGAACGTAAGACCTTGCTGACGGTACCACGCACAATGTATGATGAAACATTTAGTCCAATACATGCCTTGACTATTGATGACAGGAAAGAGACTGTTGTAGTTACATGCCAACACCCGCAGATCTATATTGGTATACATATAGTACCAGAATCTCTAAAAACTAAACGTGTGGACTTCGCACCACTTGGCGCTTTATTGCATGAAAAGGAAATAACATGCGCTGCGGTCTGTACATGGAAACCTGTAATTATGACAGGAAGTAAGTGATGCAAGTAAATATATAATGTAATCTTTAAGAAATGTTAAAAGTATCACTACTATACTTTAATGAACCTTAAAAGTTTAAAGTTTCTATAGCTCTATTTCGAATTCTTACAACTGTGCTTTCCAACAAGGTAAGGACTTTACTGTACGAATTTGGAACTATAAGTCATGCAAAGTGGAGGTTTGCTGCAGATATGACGATGCAATTCGAGATGTAGCACTCAATAATACTGGATATTTAGCAGCTATGGCCTTTACTAATGAGGTCAGATTAGTACAAATATTTGTTGATGATTATCTGGTAAAACAATGGATTAATTATGTTAAAGCTTTTAATTAATTTTAGCTTCTTCGTAGCCTGTAAAAAAGTTTCACTTTCCCATGTGCAATTCTATTAAATATGCAAACTATGGACACATTTTAGCTGCAGCCTATGGAAACACAGTGTCTCTGGTATCACCGTATTTATTTCATGTGGTACATCATCTCAGAGTAAGTTATATAAACAAACCAAATATATATTTAAATGGGCATTTACGTATAATTCTGGCTTTCTCGTTGAATACCTCTCTGATAGTATTTTCATTAAACGGTTGAACTGTTTAGCTTAAAGTTTAGACTTAACCAGGTAATATCCGCTGCTATTTTTAAAAATAATAAATATAGAAATAAAAAAAATGGTAATATTTTTACAATCAGCTAAAGAATACGAAATATATGTAAATAATGTTATTAATATACACGAATTTGTTTAGATTAAGGATTCAAGTAAGTTTCAAAAAAAATACTCAGTAAGGTCTGCGTGGTAGGCGTGGAAAAACAATATATAACACAAAAACAAATTTTTTTAAGAAGCACCATAAAGGGTTACAAACATGGATTGGGTATTTTCTACAGAAAATGGCATATGTATATAAGAAACTTGAGAGGTTAATAGACGATTAAAAACATATTCTGAACAACTCCACGTAAAACTATGCTTTCGACTAAGGGTTTATTGTTGTGTTTTTTCAAGCAAAATTTGCTGATATTTATTTCATAGTTAAATAACTTCGCTCCAATAAAATATCTGGCAGGAGCATCTCGATATCCAATATATCCCCTTACTAATGGGACACTGTCTTATTGATAAGCCGATTCAATAGAGAATTCCTTCAATTAGAGAATTCATTCATAGTTGCCAGTCAAAATTTGTATATACAATAATTTTAGTAGGGATAATCAAAAAGAAATAAAATTTTTTAGTCACTGCTCAACTATCTTCAGAATAAGAGTTAACTCCTTGGAGGATATTTAGTTTAAAGAATAGGTAGAGGTAGGCGTAGTCGACATAATAAAATTGTTAAGGCTCAGCATTCAAAGATGGCTGAAAAGGAACGAAATTTCCTTATGACACCAAAACGGGCCCCTGGTTTAAACGAACCCAATGATTCTTGGTAAGAGTGACTATTATAGTCATAAGTCAATTTTTAATGATCATATGATCTTCTTCGAAATAATAGAAATGGTTTTGTTGTTCCACAACAAAACGGAAGTGATATAGAGCAGATATGTAAGAACAGCTTAAAGTTTTAAAAAAGTTTGAGTGTTAGTTTCACATGTTCAAGTACACGTATACTCGTAATGCCCGATTGTCGTAATGCCCGATTGATGTAGTCCTTGTACAATTTGCAACCGTCTTTGTTTAGATCAGGTTGGAGCAGCGGTCTTGTACCCATATACTCCTTTAACCCTATTAGAGTAAGAGTAAATTTTATATTGTATGTATAAAAATCAATATTTATGTTTGAAATAATGTTGCCACATTTTATAAAATTACAAAATTTATTACCTTTCAGGGAAATAATGGCAATGTCATGGGAATTTCTTGGACCGTCGATGATAGAGGTATTGTTTCGTGTGCAGATGATGGAATGATATGTTATTGGAATGTGATGAATGGTCAAGAAATTTACAAAATTGAAACGAACCAATCATTTCGTGCAGTATGTATTACAACAGCTTTGCCGGAAACGATTTATGCAGCTTCACAAACTGGCTCTATACACGTCTTTCAAAATAAAAAGAAAATTAATGAAGTGCGCGTTCCAATGCGTAAACGTCCTCTTCCTTTGGTTGATATAGTGATGTTTCGCTCAGATCAAATGTTGTTTGCTGTAAATAGCAAAGGAGAATTCTATACAATAGGGCTGCCACTTTTTATGTATAACGAACCATGTTTCAGAGTTAAATTATTCGTAACACGGTGCAATCGAATTCTACTTTCATATGACGGTTTGTTGTTAATAGCGATAACCGATGGTGGAACTCTGGTTGTGTGTTCATTAGAAAACATAGAAGAACGTTTAGTACCTGTCGATGAAGTTCTATTGCACAGAGATGACATTGTAATACCACGAAAAGAGGTGCTGAAGCAAAGAAAAAATATTAAGTTTCTAGAAACGAAGTTAAAGAGAGCACAACGAGAATATATGATGCAAATATTGCAATGCGAGAAAACGGATATCAAACATTTGAACAAAGTACATCGCAGCTACTGTACAGCGGTTACGGAATTGAGAACCACAAACATAGAGCTAGAAAGGCGACAGCACGAGGAGTTAACTCAGGTTAACTATCAATTAGATTGTATAAGACACGACCAGGCGAAAGAAATGACTGCTTTAAATGAACACTACACCGATCGAATGATGGCTGAAACAACAAAATTTAACAATTTACGTGATGAATTACTATCTCTGCGTGATGAATATGGCACAAAGTTACTTAATGCGGAGAACACATTAATCGATACAATACCTGAATTTCAGGAGGATTTCAAGAAAAAACTTGACCATCGCAGAGTACTACTGCGTGAAATGATGAAGCTAATAAATGACAAAAAAATTGAATTTTTTGATTATTGCCGTGTTACTGATGATCGAAATTACAAAATCTTAATTCAAACGCAGGTTGATTTCGTCGAAGAGTTAAAGCGACAGAAGAATATACGTCGTGCCACACATGCCGAACATGACCTGCAAGAGGAAATATTCCACAGATTTACATCGCGTAAAGAAATGATGGAGAGAAAAATTCAAATGGGCAAAGAACTATACGTAACCTACGCCGAACTAAAGGAAACATTGACAAAAAAATATCTGGCGTTACAAATTGATTATAATGATCGAGAACATGCCATAGATCAAAAAGAATTTCGTATAGTTGAACTTGGGGAAAAAAATGAAAGTTTGGAAAAATTCAAATACGCTTTAGATGAGAAAATCATTGAACTGCATAAAGCTATTGCGCCCAAGGATGTTCAAATTGCCGAAAAAATTAAACATATTTTGGAAATGGAGCACGAATTGATTGGTTTGCATTATAGCAATGAACATTTACATTTGCAATTAGATGAAGTGAAGACCAGAGACATGAGTTATAAAAAGGAGCTTGCAACTGAAAAGCATCGCACGAGAGGGGCACGTCAATGTTATGCCGATATATTAACGAATATATTTGATGTCAATAAAACAATAGAAGATCCGTTGGAATTAAGAAGAGAGGTTAAAAAGTTCTTTGAACGCTATGCAAATGATAACGTTTTGCATGAGTATCTAGCAGTCATACCAGAAGAAAAAGACTATTTTCAGAGAAATCGCGTTTGTATAGAGAATATAGTTAGGTCTAACGACAACGTCCAAAGAGAGTTAGATGAAAAGCCTATGGTAAAGAAATTTAAAAGAGAAAGACGTCTTCTAAGACGCGAACTTAGATGTCTAAGGTCTATAAATAAAGTGCTACAAGAAAATCCAGAAGATGAGAACCTTTTCGACATACTTGCAGCCTTAACACATAAGCTACATCGAAAATAACTTAAATTCTAATTAATAATTTATTTTTATTTTCTTTTATTTCATTGACATTTGTATCAGAGTCTAATAAAATTCAACTCAATTCATTTATTAAAAGTTTACGTTTATTTATAGAGTGAAGAAAAGTAAATTAATCTGATGGAGAGACTAATCTGAGATTAAACTGATACAAAATCTTACTTTTTGTAATTTTTATAGTAAAAATACATAAAACGCACTTGTGTTTAAGATTTCGATTAAATTCTTATTTCAGTACAGTGTTTGAATCATTAAAATATTCTCCAAGTGATACTTATAGTATTGGATCCTTTTGAGATAATTTCTGATATTTTGTCGGGAGAAACTTTTGTGCCATAGCCGAATGCTCGTTTAAAAAGGTGTCGCAAATTTGAAGATTGTCAGCACAAACAAGACTGAAAAACAAGAAACACATCACATATACTTGAAGTTAGACTGCTGCTGTTAGGCTAACAGCAGGAATTTTTCAGCTGAGCTCATGTTTCGATAATGTCTAAGCCTGATCACATCTGTTACATATTTAGTTTCTATGATTTAAGTCAAAGAGTTTTGCCTAAAGGAGGTTTAGATAGACAATGTCAACGATTATCTCCTCATAATGCCCAAAATAAAACTACTATAGAATCTATTATAGAATGATTGAGCGTTTTTTTAATTTCAACACGTTCAGTGGTTGTTAAACGACCCATATTTTAAAACGGCAAACGTTGGAAAAATCATGCAATGCCTTGGATGAAAGTACTGTTTGAAATAGTGCTGCCAAATATGTTAAGAAGTAAGACATTGAACGACTCCTTAATAATAATCAAATAATATATATTAAAATAAATTTATTGTATTGAAAAATATAAAGTCCCACAAGCAACCTTATACTTACTTTCTAAATAGACTTTCTTAATTAAAATTCGTTAATCTTTGTTAATTAATCTTTAAAAAAAATGTGAGCAATCAATAGTAAACAACTTTGAGTAATGTTTTATAAAGTTATAAACTATAGATAACGTGGCAGAAAGACGGATTTTCTTTAATTTCTTAGAAAACCAATTTTATTTCTATATTTCTAAATGTTTTAAGGAGAGGAGGACTGGGTGTTCTTAAACCAATTGGATGATTGATAAATGAAAATCCGTCAAATAATTTCAATAGCAAAGATGTTATTGAGTGAGTGTAGGCATAATCTACTCAGTTTAAGCGCAAATCTGGATGAGCCTCGATAGAACAATCTTAGAAAAGCCAAATGTTAAGGAAATCTTTTCTTAGTACTTGGGTTGAATTAGGATTTATTCTATATTTTTTATGCAAAAATTTCGTGAATTTTAGTTTGTAACATTAATATATTTTTTTCCATCGCATAAGTTTTCACTATGTGTTTACACCGAAAAGGTTTCCTAAAGTTTTATTGCAGTTCAAGTCAAAGCTTTTTAAAGCCGAATATTTACATTCCAATATGTTTATTTCATTATTGTGCATATAATAATCTCTAAATTGTGCATTATATAGATCATGTATTATTTTATTTAAATTGGTCCACAAAAAAAAAATGTTGATAGCACTTTAAAGCTTAACGTAATGAGATGAGACAAGTAAAATACGACCCAGCTCCTTGCAAGATCTAAAAGTAATAATCACATTATTATGCATAGACATGGAAGTACTTAAATTCTTAAATAAATTCTTTATTGTGCATATATTAACCTTTAGAACCACAAGTTGTGATACGCTAAAAAAGTTAAGTCCTGTAATTGAAATTGGTTGCTGGTTCGTTGCAATTGCAAGCATAATTAACTTCATCAAATGTACATTCTTTTTTGCGTCCGACACACGCTCCACAACCAATTCCCAATTGCAATTATAATACATGGAACTTATCTCATCAGTCTGTAAAATCAAAATATATAAATTTCATTTTATATATTTTTTTATTTATATATAGAAATATTTTTACCATAGTAATTAAATTCGAGCCAAGACTGCCAAGTGCTAACATTTCCAATATTTTTGCAAGAATCCAAAATATATAACCGTAACTAGAGACAGGATTCTGGGTTATAATGTTAAAGAAATTTATTACATACAACACTGCTAATATATGTACTTCGAAGATTCAGACCTAGCGTTTATTGAGTATTAATATTATAAAATTGGTAAATCAGTGAGCAAGTCTATCAAATCTAATAAAGATTAATGAATCTGACAACGATGGAATACAGCTAAAAGTCAGATATCTAGATTTTTTAGCTGCTCCTGGCTAAAAGACATATGAAATGATGAAACCCCAACGATATTTATGACTGAACAAAATCCGTAACAGATATTATCAGTTTGATTAGGTTGAGTGATCGTCACTTGTGCCCAAAACCCACTTAAGCTCAAATAATTTGATAGCCCACTTGAGCTCCGTTGAGTTACCACGGACTATTAATAGTTATAATATGTGATTTTGAAAACTTTAAATCGGTGATATACGTGTATTAACTTTTAAAATATTTTTATTAAATTTTTTCTAAAACCTGATTATTCTTAGAAGTTAACCTTCCGATTATTTCTTCGATGAGAAAGCTTCTATTCTGTTCAAAACTTTTTAATGCACATTAGTTTTGGTGGTTTTACAATACTTAGTCATAATCGAATAAATAATTGATTACAATATTAAACACTTATTTAATTATTAAAAATTTTTTAAATTAAAACCAATACTGAATTAAATGGAATCTTCACAAATGATATAAAGACTTCTCATCATCATATGGAATGATTTTAAAATGTTTACCGAGTTTCATTGTGGTCTTATAAATACTAAAGATGCTAACTGGGAAAAACACTTAAACGAAGTAACAATTTTAAATATACTGGTTGAAATCTATGATCTAGCAAAGGAAGATTTCAAAAGCAGGGTTGTTGATATAGTGAAAATATGAGTGAATGCTTTCCAAACATTTTGCATGAGCATTGTATATAAAAAAGTTATTTATAAGATAAATGACGCTTTTAGTTATAATAAATCAAAAGCATATCTGTTAAATCCTTATAGGTAATAGGGAAAGTACATCACTTAATAGCAACTATTGTCATGTAATTCTACCTGACACTTTGCTATTCAATTTCGTCACTATGCTATAAATCGCATTTAGTATACATGTTCTCATTAAATATATTGTAAATTAAATTGTGTAAATATTAAAACGCATATTTTAATGCAACTACTAGGTCATACTAGGTCACCTTACAGTTACTTCCAAGCAACGTTTGTACTTTTTTCTGCTTAACTCAAATGAGTTAAGATACACGGATACACCACTATGCTTAGGAAATAAATGACCAGTTGAAACAGTTGAGCTCTTTCGGATCAACATGTTCTAAATAAGGTTGAAGCCATGCCATCTGTGGTAAAGTTATGACAGTATTAAGATGGTTGACTCCTCGATAAAGGTGAAACAGTAACAGGGCACTATTATGTGACACTGCGACACCATTTGGAAGATAGGTTTAGGCATGATGCACAATAACGCAGGTGACACTACAATGACACTACATTGTCGCTTGAACGATTAAAAATGTTTTTAACTGCAAGCAAGAGGCACCGCAAGTTAGTGTGTTTTGCTCAATATGATTTATTTCATCTCACAATCACTCAAGCGACATAGTGGCAGTTTCGAGTGTTCATCACCCCTAGTATGCACCAGGTCTTAAGATAAAAATAAACACCGCAATTAAAAAAAAAAAACTTTTTTGTACCACAACAATGCATCAACTCATGCGTTTGAAATTGGAATAGCAAAATTCAGCATATTTCGGTATGTGGTGCTATCTAATCTACGGTATTAACTAGATTTGGCTTCGATAGTAGATTCGATAATAATAAATATTTTGATATTTAAAATAAATTGGTTTGCTAGAAAGAAATTTTAAATGAGTTCGTAGCAACAAATTCTGAAATAAAAAAATATTTTAAGTTCCTTAAAAAATCCCAGATATAAGAAAAGGCAAATAAGAAAGAACTCTATATCGAAAAATGACTTTTAAGTCTTTAATTTGAATTTATAAACAGCCTTCGTATGACTGCATATATTCTACCATTTCTAATTTTGAATTCCTATGTGGAGTTCATAGGAGTCTATATCGTAAAAGACGTTTTGAGTCTTTAAATCGAACTTATCAAACATCCTTCGTATGACTGTTTATATTCCACCAATCTCTAATTTTGAACTTCTTTGTGGAGCTCATGGGAGTCTATATCGAAAAATAACTTTTAAGTCTTTAAATCGAACTTATCAAACATCCTTCGTATGACTGTTTATATTCCACCAATTTCTAATTTTGAACCCCAATGTAATTTATTGAAAAACAAATCGTACAGTTTTATTTACTGAACCTATTTTTATGGTTCAAATTTAAGGTCCCAATTATTTTGCGCAATGTACCCAAATTTACGTTAACTCTCACATAATGAAATATAAGCATTTTCTTTCAAAATTAAATTTTTACTAACCGTATAAACTTTAAAACCCAAAGCACATAGAATAGCAGCACTGAAAGCAAACTGTACAAAAATTCTAAATGAGAACTCTTCTTGAAATCTCAAAGCAAATCTATTTAGTTCCACATTTTGTTTAATAGTTTCAATCAACTCCGCCTCAAATTCTGCAGATATATCAGTGCAACGTTTTCGTTGCAACAGAGCACCTACGCGGTTCGCGAAACGCTCTCTTAATATATCATATCGAGCAGTCAAGTTGACTATAACTTCCGAGAAGACATTTGCTTCGCCGAATTCCATGGTTACCACCAAAATACCAGCCCAAACATTAGTAAACATCACTGGTAAAAATATATAGAGAGGCGTATAATCGAAGGGAAATATCATTTTATAGACAAGATCCTTGCGTCTGTATATTAAATTCAAAATCGGTACAATTAAAAATGAAAGCACTGCCAAAAAGTAAAAGCTGGAATATATAAGCGTCGGTAACATTATATAACGTATGCGTTTATACTGCACAGGAAATGAGTACCTAATAAGGAGTACATAGAATATAGAAATAATATTGTACATATACATGAAACATATACATATCAGAACTGTGAATGGGTCTCAATCGAGCTAATTTTAAACCGGAATCTTATATCAAAGAGCAAAACTAAATCATAGTGATTTTCGAAATTCTGCATGGCACACTATTGTAGAAGCTTAAGGCTTCTTAAGCGAATCAATGGTTCAGAACTGTTGACCCAAAACACTTCAGAAATCTATACGATTCACAGTTCTAATAAATATTCTGGAAATATCTTACTTGTCCACATAGATATTAGCGTAGAAATTTTGTAAAAATTTTCTAAACTGCGCCTTAAGGAAACCTACGTAAAAGCCACGTATATGCGTCTCAATTAGTATTAGATAGGTAGGTACACAGGTTAACATCTGATCCATGTTCTGAAACTCATGGCGTATATAACGTAATTCTGCATCATTGTGTTCGATAAAAACTAGAAATGCCAGCACATAACAAAACCAGACAAATATACGAAATACTTTATTTGCATGCTCCTCCACTGGCCACGAAACAATGTTGAATAAACGATAAATAACCATGGGCCAACCAAGCGATACCACTTGACCATTGGCCAACCTTGGTCGGTACATCTTCCTGTAGACACAAATTTAGTAAAACTGTGGTCATAAATTGCCCGCATTCTGTTTTTATATCTTAACAATTAAACATAAAAAATATTTCCATTTCCTTTCTTTGACTACGAAACCTTAGTCTGGGGTCATTAAAGCTCCTGCTGTTCTTTGCAATTATAATTAAGTTGTTTCGTAAACTTTTGTATTCAAAAAGTTTGCTGCTCTCGTGAAGCGGGCGAGTGAGGGGAAAAAGTTTTGTTTATATTGCAACTAAAATAACGAAAAACTTTAATTACTTAATTTGTTCGTTGTTTTTGAGTAGGAAAGGTAAGTGGCAAGAAGTTACGTATACGCAGTGTTGGCTGCGTGGAGAAATCTTTATAATTTATTTATATCTGCAAACGTTTAACGATAAATTAACTTTTGTTATTAAATAATTAATTAAAATTTCAAAGTTGTTGAAATTCTTTTTTAAAAATTTATAAACAAATATTCTTTTTTGACATATTTAAGTTATTAGCGAATTATAAAGTTCTTGTTTTGAACTTTAGAACCAAAAACAAATCATTTTATTTTATAAATTACTTTATAATTACGCCTTGTTATTGTTTTAAATTTAGATAACTTAATAGGTGCATATCTACTACCGCAATCGAATTGTTAAATAATTGAATAATTGTCGTAACAATAAACAAAGGCTTAGCTTGAGTTGGTTTCAAAAAGTATGTTAAGTTCATGGAGTCACCCCTTCAAATTTTTGTCATAGATTTATTTTTCTTCAAAAAACTTAAAATCATAAAAATAATAATGAATTCAAATTAATTTAATGTCACGATGATATAATGTTGTCTATAGAAGTATACCATAAAAGGAGCACCTAAACGATAAGCATACTTGCCAATAAGACGGTATTCCGTTCGTACTGTGATTGTATGGGATGGTGAACGTTGAACAAAACTTTGCATTTGCTGTATTCTTTTCTGATTATAGATGGACCACATCACACATGAAATTAAAGAGATGTGTTTCATCTTTAACAGTCATCTTTAAACAACTATTTGAAAAAATTCTGTAGGAATAGCTTAATTAAGTGCGACTTAAGTTAAATCCAAGTGTTATGAAATTGTTGGTAAAAAAAGTTGTCTGCTATAGTATATAATATGTATAAATATTTATTGTATCTATTATGATTTCCGCTAATAAGCAGAAAATCAAGAAGAATAGAATTCTCGCTGATAATTCTTGAAAGATATTATTGTTTGATATACACTACTGAGCAGAATATTAAACAGTAGAATTCTCGCTGGATAGCAAGATATTATTGTTTGATTTCCACTGATGAACAGAAAAGCAAGAAGAATAGAATTCTCGCTGATAATTCTCAAAAAACATTCTTATTTGATTTTCACTGATGAACAGAAAATCAAGAAGAATAGAATTCTCGAAAGATATTGTTGTTTGAGTTCCACTGATGAGCTGAATATCAAAAGATAGAATTCTCGCTGAGGAGCAAGATATTCTTGTTTCAGCTATTTTTACTTAGGAGCAAGATATTACTGTCAGTCAAAGTGTAAAGATCAATTTCAGCTGATGATTTTATTGAAATTTATTTTACTTTTACGCAATTTTCTTAAAATTTTTAGTCCTTTCTGTCCAGAAGACACTACAATGATATTACACCAAACTGTGCTTTTTTGGAGATACTTTCAACTTTATTTAAACAAATATATTCTAACAAGCTTACATATAAAAAAAGCACATATGTTTTATAAGATGATGAGTTGCAGTCTTAGTGGATATCCATACTTTATCGTACCTGCAAATATGTATTTATACTCAGGTTAAATTAATTATTTTTTTTTAATTTTTTATTTATATTTCTTATTACACCTTCGTAATTAAGTTTTTTACTTCAGTTAATGCAAATAAAATAATGAAAATGCTTTCAATATGTTCACTCCATAATGATAAATAAATAAAGCATAATAAATCAATAAATTTTATTTAATTATTTCATTACTTATAGATATTTTATTTATTTTATATATGCATATAATACATATATGTCTGAATTTCACAAATTATGAAATCATTCATAACTTTTCATCTTTTATATCATTCGCACTTACTGCAGATTTACTGAATAAGCAAAATGGACTAAAGGATTTCTCTCTAAAATCGCAACCTCAATTGAAATAATATTTTGTGAATACTTGTTTTGTTATACAAATTGATATTAAGTATCTCAGAATACTCTTACGTCGATAACTGCATTTAAGTTATTAGAATTACTTATGCCGGCTTTGTGCCTTACTGAGGAGCGACTTTGGAATCTTATTTTACGCAAGGCCAGTGAAGCCGAAATTATTTCCATCAATGAATATTAAAGCATGTACGTACTTCCCTCTACTGCTCCTCGTTCCCTTATGAATGCCACAAGTTCTTCATTTAATTATATTTACGTATTTCATGAAATATGAATTCTTTTCAATTTAAGGATGCCCAAATGGAATCCTTAGATTTTATGAAAACTATGATTTCATTTGCAAAGAATTTATTTTCAGTTGAAATTTCGAAACTAATTTTATTCATTTATTCATTTTATATTAAATGCATTTTAACTCCAGTAAAGAAAAGAAGAAAATTGAAAAATTTAAACGTATTTTAAATAAATTATGATATTTATATAAATATTTGTATGTAAATGATGCTTGCTATTTTCAGTCACTTTACTACTCTTCCTAATTATATCCTTCAGACCATTTCGAATGAAAAGCATATAATTTTATTAAAATATTTATATTAAACTGAAAAAATTTTAACTATAAACAATATACACTTTATTTATAACCAAAGAGAATAATGAGTTAATAAAGACAAATAAATTAGCGTATTCGTTTGAAATCACGATGAGGGTTGACATTTTATGTCATGTCACTTTATGTCAATCGAAAAACCAACATGGAGCTAAGGCTGAATATTGAATATTATTTCAAATTGTTTCAAATATTAGCATGGAACCATATTAAAAGTTAAAAAATGTATATGAAAATGAATGTATATCCCACCCACAGCTATCCATTGCCTTATTTGACCGAGTAGTACTACCAAAAACTACTCACAATAAATCAAACATTAAGAAATTTAAGAAAAATCTTCGAATTGACCGTTGCATGTTTGCGAATTCATCGTAAAGTAATTTGAGATACTTAAACACCAATACCGGCAGCCTATCAAATTTTGTTCGAAAATTTGACCACTTGAAATGTCTGTACTTAAGACTCTGATAAATCAACAAATATGCTAAAATGCCTGAAAGAAATTCACTTACAATTAAGCGCAACAATCACTATAAATGGTGCCGATACGTATTGTTTTCAATACGAGTATAAAACAAAACATCATCGAAATCACTGAACGAACCATAAAACAGAAGTTCTACTTTTTTGGAGCAACGAAATTACGACAACGCTGACTGTACTCTTCGATTGAAAATAGAAATCAATGAAAAATGGAAAGCAATCTTCTGGAAATCATCAGAAGTGCCATAGAAGAAAAGTTATGCTTTTTAGACCAACGACATGACGACTACGCTAACCGTACTCTTCGATTGAAAATAATTCAAAAGGGACACCTAATACTGATTTCTTCTCTGAAGGTTAGACGGTGAAACTTCGATAGGAATATCAAAAGCTAGTTAAGTAGTTTTTATTAAAGTCTTTCTTCATGGACCTTAAACGGTATCACTTTGACCGATCATTAACTATATCTATTTGAATTGACAATTTTAGTTGATTGATGTTGAAAGATAATCATTTCGATACGATCTTAGTCATCCTAAAGACTTTGACCAACATACTGAAAGCAACTCTGATCGATGTGTATAAAAAATGTTTTGGAAAATTTGAAGAGCAATCATTTCGATACTATAATGCTCATACAAAAGGCGTTAAAAGGGATACTGAAACAATTCTGGTCAGTGGATATAAGAAATGAAATAAGAAAATTTGTTAAAAATTTGCTGCTCTATATTGACTCGGAAGGAAACTATTTTAAATGAATATGATCAAAAAATTATTTTTTTATTTTTTGAGACTAGACTCCGTGGCGTTTTTAAAATTTATGGCGAGTATATACATTATATGTACAAACTTTCAGAAAAAAACTTTATTTTCATAAATTTAAGAATTTTGTAAATATTTTGTCCACTATGTATTACTAAATAATAGCTTTTAAAAGCAATATCAATATTGGTGTAGCCTCGACAAGAAGTAATAGTCCGTCTTAAGGACTATGAGAAGGACGTATGAGAAGCTCTATTAATATATTTACAACCCATTCCCACCCTTATAAAGTTCAGCATACATTTATGCAAAATGATAAACTAGATTTTAGAGTCTGTGACATTACTTCCTCTCCTACTTACACATAGTTATATGGAGCTATTTGAAGCAAAGCTCTATGTACAATGTATTGTAGTATTTTGGAGTAGAATTTTTGAAAAATTACTGAATTTGTGTTTACTGCAGTTCCTATAACTGCCCCCTATAAGTGCAGAAATATTTCAGTACACTCTGCTCTTAGACTTAAAGCTACCTCCGCCATTTCTACTGACGGATCTGAAATAAGTAGTTGTGTAGGCAGTGAAGTTTTCTCAGAAGAGCTGAATAAATCTTCCTTCTATAGGCATCTTCCTTCTATCCTGATCATTGTATTGATTTTCATGTGGAGGTTATCGCCATTAACAAAGTAATAGCTTGTCTGAAAGAATATGATATATTTAATAAAAATATATTCATACTATTGGACAGTCAAGCTATTTAAGTCCTTGAGTTTAGTTCAATTTACTTCCAGAATGGTTTTTGATTGCTACACATCGCTTAACGAGTTGTTGACGTGGTTCAACATTTCTTTAATCTGAATCCCCCTTATAGACACATTTTGATAATTGTAAAGTAAACACGCCAGCTAGATGGGGTACTTCTCGGAAGTCACTCAAAGCACCTAAACTGTCTGGACATCAT